GGCCAGCTGATCAAACACAAATCTCTTTGATCAGCTGCTTCCCTGGCTGTAGCAGAAATCCTCATCACTTCCCGCTTCATTCATCATAAAGGAGATCGGGGAATAAATACACAACAGAAAGGAAAAAAGGAAAAAAACAAAAAACAAAAAACAAAAAGGATTTCAGTGCCCCTTGAGTGATGGCTTGTTTATTGAACTAATTTTACTACTTGTAAAGAATGCCAAGAACATGCATTTTATTAAAAAAAAAAAAAAAAAAAACACAAAACAAAAAAACCAGATGCTGTACTTACAACAGCGGAGCTTTACCTTAATCATTCCACTAAAAGAACGCGAGCGAGTGTGTCTGTTTGCAGCAGTGACATCCGGTGTTCCTGGGTTATGTTTATTGAACTACAAAAAAAAAAAAAAAAAAAAAACCACACACCAAAAAAAAAAAAAAAAAAAGATCATTTCTTTGTTTTATAAAAAGTTGCTAAAAGAAAACAAATTAGTTATATCAGATATTTATTGGCTGTAACACACACAAGTAAACTGACAGCCTGCCAATAGATTCTTCTCCTAATGTACGGAAAAGTAAAAAAAAATTACAAACATGCATATATACACACACGTGCGAATATGTATATGTGTGCATGTATGTACATGTGTGTGTACACATGTATGTGTGTGTATATATATATATATATTATATATATATATATATATATATATATTATATATATATATATATATATGTAAAAAAAGTAATTTAAAGAAAAATAAAATTTAAAAAGCTACCTGAATTTATTAAAAAATAGCCGTAAAAAAAAAAAAAAAAAAGTAATTTAAAAAGGAAAAAGTAATTGGAATAAAGAAAAAAAAAAAAATTATTTAAAAGGAAAAAGTAACTGGAAGAAAAAAAAAAAAAAAAAGTAATTTAACTAGTAGCCGACCGCAGATAGCCGAATGACTGCTGCACTGCGGCCGGCCAGTTCTGAGTGGACGTCATATGACGTCTTCCCAGAACGCGCTCTCCTGCGCGCCCCAGGGGGCGCGCACCCGGTGATCTCCGTGATCGCTGTGTCCTACGGACACAGCTGATCACGTGATGTGGTAAAAGGCCAATCACAGCGGCCTTTTAGCACATGATCAGCGGTGTCCAATGACACGCTGATCAGAGGGAAATGCAAGTGCCGGTTCTCAGCTGCACTTTCCTCACGCTGTCAGATTGTGAGGAAAGTACTGCCGAGAACCGGCAGTTGTCAGAGCGGGGATCGGCACCGATCATCAGGGCACTGATGATCGGTGCCCAGCAGTGCCACCCGCAAGTTCCGCCCACCTGTGCCCAGCAATGCACCCACCTGTGCCAGCAATGCACCCACCTGTGCCCACCCACCAGTGCTGCCCACCAGTGCCACCCACCAGTGCAGCCCAGCAGTCAGTGCCCAACGGTTGTGCCAGTCAGTGCCGCCAGTCAGTGCCCAGCAGTGATGCCAGTCAGTGCTGTCTATCAGTACCCATCATCAGTGTCACCTATCAGTGCCGCCTATCAGTGCTGCATATTAGTGCCGCCTATCCGTGCCACCTCATTAGTGCTGTCTATCAGTGCCGCCTATCCGTGCCACCTCATTAGTACTGCCTATCAGTGCCCTTTAGTGCTGCCTATCAGTGCCCATCAGTGCTGCCTATCAGTGCCCATCAGTGCTGCCTATCAGTGCCCATCAGTGCTGCCTCATCAACGCACATCAGTGAAGGAGAAAAATTACCTGTTTGAAAAATGTTATAATAAAAACAAAGAAACTTTTTTTATTTATAGCGCAAAAAGTAAAGCGCCCAGTGGCGATTAAATACCACCAAAAGAAAGCTCTATTTGTGAGAAAAAAAAAATTATCAAAATTTCATATGGGTACAATGTTGCATGACCGCGCAATTGTCAAAGTGCGGCAGCGCTGAAAGCTGAAAATTGGCCTGGTAAATAAGGGGGTATAAGTGCCCGGTAGGCAAGTGGTTAAAGGAAAAAGTAATTGGAAGAAAGAAAAAAAAAAAAAAAAAGGAATTTAAAAGGAAAAAGTAATTGGAAGGAAAAAAAAAAAGTAAGTTTAAAAAGGAAAAAGTAGTTCTATCAGAAAATTATCTGTAACACCCATTTGGTTATAATGGCTTTGCTACTCATAACACAAAGACAAATGTGAACTTGCAGCCTGCCAATCTTCTTGTGGTATACTGTACATATAAAAAAAATTATATTTATTTTATTTTTTGTAATAAAAAAAAAAAGCACATTTAAAAAATAATTTTAAAAAGTCACTTAAAAAAATAGTCATTCAAAAAAAAAAAAAAAAAAAAAAAAAAAAAGTAATTAAAAAAAATTAAATCATTATTTCTTCTTCTTATAAACATGATTGTACTCTAGATTGAAGTTTCACATCCATAGAAAATGTCTTATATTACCCAGCTTGGCCAGTAGAGGGCAGCATGTACATACTAATCACAGTCAGCAAATACTGGTTCATTCTCCAATTTATAGAATCGATGAGCGCAGATTTGCTTCAAAAAGGAAAAGCAATGTATGACCAAAACCTGCCATGGGACAATGGTGGTCCCGGCCCATGCCTGACCTCTCCGATACAGGGGAAGGTATGGGACATACGGGCCCCTTGAAGTCACTGACACACGAAAGGGTTCTAGAACTGGAGGGTGCAAAATCCGGATCACGTCTGTATAGAAACCGATCAGCGTCTAGCTTCAGCTTGTCCAATGAAGCTTTGGCAATAAATCCTGGAAGCGGATCCGGATTTTGCCCCCTCCAGTTTAGTGCGACACTGTGGCCCTGTGAGTTGTCCGAGTTTCTGTAGACTTGTGTCAGAGAGGCGGTTCAGGGCCACTCTAGGGACATGCTGTGCGGTGCAATGTTAGCCCATCCATTAGCACCAAGCAGGTGCTAATGATCATCCATTTTACAGGCAAAATGAAATATGGGAACACAGAGAGCGGGGGCCCGAGCGGAGGGTCAGAGAGCGGGGGGCCCGAGCGAGGGTCAGAGAGCGGGGGCCCGAGCGAGGGTCAGAGAGCGGGGGCCCGAGCGAGGGTCAGAGAGCGGGGGGGCCCGAGCGAGGGTCAGAGAGCGGGGGCCCGAGCGCGGGGGCGAGTCAGAGAGAGGGGGCCCGAGCGAGGGTCAGAGAGCGGGGGCCCGAGCGAGGGTCAGAGAGCGGGGGGCCCGAGCGAGGGTCAGAGAGCGGGGGCCCGAGCGAGGGTCAGAGAGCGGGGGCCCGAGCGAGGGTCAGAGAGCGGGGGCCCGAGCGAGGGTCAGAGAGAGCGGGGGCCCGAGCGAGGGTCAGAGAGCGGGGGCCCGAGCGAGGAAACGAGGGTCAGAGAGCGGGGGCCCGAGCGAGGAAACGAGGGTCAGAGAGCGGGGGCCCGAGCGAGGAAACGAGGGTCAGAGAGCGGGGGGGCCCGAGCGAGGAAACGAGGGTCAGAGAGCGGGAGCCCGAGAGAGGAAACGCGGGTCAGAGAGCGGGAGCCCGAGAGAGGAAACGCGGGTCAGAGAGCGGGAGCCCGAGAGAGGAAACGCGGGTCAGAGAGCGGGAGCCCGAGCGAGGAAACGCGGGTCAGAGAGCGGGAGCCCGAGAGAGGAAACGCGGGTCAGAGAGCGGGAGCCCGAGAGAGGAAACGAGGGTCAGAGAGCGGGAGCCCGAGAGAGGAAACGAGGGTCAGAGAGCGGGAGCCCGAGAGAGGAAACGAGGGTCAGAGAGCGGGAGCCCGAGAGAGGAAACGAGGGTCAGAGAGCGGGGAGCCCGAGAGAGGAAACGAGGTCAGAGAGCGGGGAGCCCGAGAGAGGAAACGAGGGTCAGAGAGCGGGAGCCCGAGAGAGGAAACGAGGGTCAGAGAGCGGGAGCCCGAGAGAGGAAACGAGGGTCAGAGAGCGGGAGCCCGAGAGAGGAAACGAGGGTCAGAGAGCGGGAGCCCGAGAGAGGAAACGAGGGTCAGAGAGCGGGAGCCCGAGAGAGGAAACGAGGGTCAGAGAGCGGGAGCCCGAGAGAGGAAACGAGGGTCAGAGAGCGGGAGCCCGAGAGAGGAAACGAGGGTCAGAGAGCGGGAGCCCGAGAGAGGAAACGAGGGTCAGAGAGCGGGAGCCCGAGAGAGGAAACGAGGGTCAGAGAGCGGGAGCCCGAGAGAGGAAACGAGGGTCAGAGAGCGGGAGCCCGAGAGAGGAAACGAGGGTCAGAGAGCGGGAGCCCGAGAGAGAAACGGGAGCCCGGGGAGCCCGAGAGAGGAAACGAGGGTCAGAGAGCGGGAGCCCGAGAGAGAGGAAACGAGGGTCAGAGAGCGGGAGCCCGAGAGAGGAAACGAGGGTCAGAGAGCGGGAGCCCGAGAGAGGAAACGAGGGTCAGAGAGCGGGAGCCCGAGAGAGGAAATTTCCTTCCACAGTCCGTTTCCTCCGTCGGGTTTCGACACTCCCCTTCCTCCCTCCGGGTCCCACACACTCCCGTCCCTCCCTCAGGGTCCCACACTCCCGTCCCTCCCTCAGGGTCCCACACTCCCGTCCCTCCCTCAGGGTCCCACACTCCCGTCCCTCCCTCAGGGTCCCACACTCCCGTCCCTCCCTCAGGGTCCCACACTCCCGTCCCTCCCTCAGGGTCCCACACTATCAGCCCATTCATTAGCACCAGCAGGTGCTAATGATCATCAATTTCATAGGTAGACTGAAATGCAGTCATTGACCAAAAGCAGAAACAGCTGTGTAGGGGGCTTAAAAAATGGGTGAGGAACAGCCAAACTCTGCTACTACCATGAGGTTGTGATGGACAGTTTCATGTCACCGATCTATCCAGAAAAGTGATTTTTGGTTAGAGTTGGGTTTCAAAGTCAGCCTAAAGAGAACGTTTATATTCTGGGAAATTATACGGCCCGATTCGGGATCTTGACTCGGAGCACTGAAACTGATGAAACAGAATCCCAGCCAGGAAACCGGCATTTTCATGGAGAAGACTGCAAGGGCCACCCATGTATTAGTCAGCTCAGACTGTTCCCCGTAAATCATGAGAATAGCAGTCAACGTGACTCGGTATATGGGGATCCGACACGAGCCACCTTACCTGGCGAAGGAGCTTCTTCTTCTTGGTGGAGTCCGGCATGTTGTGGACGTGCTGGAAGAGTTCCCGCAGCGCCTGCTCCGTCCGCTGCTGCGTCTGATCCTGCTGGGAGGCCGAAGACGAGGGCGAGGTGGCCAATCTGCTTCTCTTCTGACTCTTCAAGAACGGAAACTCCGGCCGCGAGGATGGCAAATCCAGGTCATCCTGTATGGACAGGGAGGAGAGAGAGATGAGCGGGATTATTCACAGAATATTCTAGACCCATGGTGTCCTACCTGCGGCCTGAGGGCCACTTGTGGCCCTTTGGTATATGTGTGGCCCAAGGGCCTCAGCAGTCTGTAGTGGGAACATTTATTAGGGTAATAGCTTTGACCTCTACCACCCTCATTTCCTCTCTCGGGTTCCCACTCTCTGACCCTCATTTCCTCTCTCGGGTTTTTTTCATTTAACTTTATTGCCATCACAAGAGGGGTGAACACGGCCCCTTTGTGACAGCTTTGGGCAGTAACAGGTCCTCTTTATGGGGTCAATAAGACCCCTGATGTCTCCCCTGCCCTCCCAAGACAGCTGATCAAGCACAGATGGATTTGTGTTTCTCTTCAACCTAACAACAGCGACAGTTTCATACTACAAGGATAAAAAAAAGGGCGAATGTAAAGCCCATCTCTGAGAATTACAATAAACTGCCCTTCCAAGGGGGGCTCAGCCACCCCCAAACTCTTCCCTTCACCCCAACCTCCGCCTATAAATGCCTTGCAAGTTTTTATACAGAGAACCTCCACTCCTTCATCTTCATCAAAATGGAGAACCTCCACCTCCTTCAACGCATGCGGAGAACCTCCACCTCCTTCATAGCGGAGAATACGGAGAACCTCCTCATACGCATGCGGAGAACCTCCATACAGAGAACCTCCACCTCCCTCATAGCATACAGAGAACCTCCACCTCCCTCATAGCATACAGAGAACCTCCACCTCCCTCATAGCATACAGAGAACCTCCACCTCCCTCATAGCATACAGAGAACCTCCACCTCCCTCATAGCATACAGAGAACCTCCACCTCCCTCATAGCATACAGAGAACCTCCACCTCCCTCATAGCATACAGAGAACCTCCACCTCCCTCATAGCATACAGAGAACCTCCACCTCCCTCATAGCATACAGAGAACCTCCACCTCCCTCATAGCATACAGAGAACCTCCACCTCCCTCATAGCATACAGAGAACCTCCACCTCCCTCATAGCATACAGAGAACCTCCACCTCCCTCATAGCATACAGAGAACCTCCACCTCCCTCATAGCATACAGAGAACCTCCACCTCCCTCATAGCATACAGAGAACCTCCACCTCCCTCATAGCATACAGAAAACCTCCACCTCCCTCATAGCATACAGAGAACCTCCACCTCCCTCATAGCATACAGAGAACCTCCACCTCCTTCAACGCATACAGAAAACCTCCACCTCCTTCATAGCGTACGGAGAACCCCAACCTACTTCATAGCATAAGGAGAACCCCATCCTGCCTCACAGCATACGGAGATCCTCCACCAGCCTCACAGCATACGGAGAACCTCAACCTCCCTCACAGAATACGGAGAACCTCAACCTCCCTCACAGCATACGGAGAACCTCAACCTCCCTCACAGCATACGGAGAACCTCAACCTCCCTCACAGCATACGGAGAACCTCAACCTCCCTCACAGCATACGGAGAACCTCAACCTCCCTCACAGCATACAACCTCCCTCACAGCAAGAGAACCTCAACCTCCCTCACAGAATACGGAGAACCTCAACCTACCTCACAGCATACGTAGAACCTCTACCTCCATCATAGTATATGGAGAACCTCCACCTCCCTCATAGCATACGGAGAACCCCAACCTCCTTCATAGCATACGGAGATCCTCCACCTCCCTCATAGCATTCAGAGAACCTCAACCTCCCTCATAGCATACAGAAAACCTCTACCTTCATAGCGTACGGAGAACCTCCACCTCCCTCATAGCATACGGAGAATCTCCACCACCTTCACAGCATACAGAAAACCTCCACCTTGCCTAAAAAATACTCAAGTCTTGCTCACTGTTACCTTTGAGGACGGAGTCCTGCTCCCGCCGACGTACACGCGTGCATATTCTCGTATGTATGGAGGAGCCTGAAAAACACACGTTACAAATCAGAGAAATGTTCTTTCAGGAGCTTCAATGCTGGCTGGAAAACATCTGTCGCCTCATCCATTTTCATGTGTGCGGATATACAATTAACTCGCATTAAGCAATTCGGCTTGCGATTGGAATGTGTGGGCAGACAGCTGGGGCGCTATTATTGGAACAAAGAATTCCCATGAAATCATGTTAATGGTCACACTAATCATTCACAGCGGGTGCAGCAAATCACTGCAGACAACAAGCAATAAGAATCATCAACGTGGACAACTTCAGGACACAAGAAGACAAAGCGTCAATTTGTACTGCTGGGGCCTCTGTTACGGTCAGTGACACCCTAGATGTGCACACATTCTCCCTGCACATGCAGCCTGCCCCCCAAATCACAAAAGGACATGCGGTACTCCAGAGGTGGGGTGGGCAAGCAGTTCACCTTGGGGGGACTAGTCTTCGGCAATGGCGGGGACAATCTGAACAGATGGGCACTAGTTACTTTTAGAGACACTAAGTGTAGACGGTTAAAATCAGGCACTTTCATCCCCTTCCAGTCCCGACGCTCCCCCCCCCCCCCCTTCCAGTCTCGACGCTTTCCCCCCCCCACCTTCCAGTCTCGACGCTTTACCCCCCCTTCCAGTCTCGACGCTTTCCACCCCCCCTTCCAGTCTCGACGCTTTCACCCCACCTTCCAGTCTCGACGCTTTCACCCCCCACCTTCCAGTCTCGACGCTCCCCCCCCCCCCTTCCAGTCCCGACGCTTCCCCCCCCCCCTTCCAGTCCCGACGCTTTCCCCCCCTTCCAGTCCCGACGCTTTCCCCCCCTTCCAGTCCGGACGCTCCCCCCCCCCCCTTCCAGTTCGGACGCTTTCCCCCCCCCTTCCAGTCCGGACACTTTCCCCCCCCTTCCAGTCTGGACACTTTCCCCCCCCTTCCAGTCCGGACACTTTCCCCCCCTTCCAGTCCGGACACTTTCCCCCCCTTCCAGTCCGGACACTTTCCCCCCCTTCCAGTCCGGACACTTTCCCCCCCTTCCAGTCCGGACACTTCCCCCCCCTTCCCCCCCCTTCCAGTCCGGACACTTTCCCCCCCTTCCAGTCCGGACACTTTCCCCCCCTTTCAGTCCGGACACTTTCCCCCCCCTTCCAGTCCGGACACTTTCACCCCCTTCCAGTCCGGACACTTTCCCCCCCCCTTCCAGTCCGGACACTTTCACCCCCTTCCAGTCCGGACACTTTCACCCCTATTATATTCTTAACCACTAGAGCAGTCTAGCCAGTCGGGTGATAATAAGACCTTCTGCACTTGTATTCAAGTATTTCCCCTAATACTATCTCCCCCTTCTCTATTTTTCTCCTCTTTACCTTACTTTGGGCTAAGCTGGCCAGACATAGCATTTCATTGGAAAACGTTTGTTCCAAAACGTTTGAGGGTTATCGGGGGTCAAATGTTTGACTATAGCAAACTAGAAAAAATCAGAAGGCCAAAAGGAATAGAAAATGTATCCCCTTTAACTGAACAAATTACAATTATAGGTGCTAAAGTGATCCTCCCTTGAGAAAATCTTGCTTATTCTAATGGCCACGGAAATGTTTTATACAGAATTAGATCTTTTGTGGTCATCAAAATTTGTTTGTTTAAGAAATTACGTATGGAATGTATAAAAGGAACAAACAAATGTCTATGTATAGCTTATACATTAGATTTAAAATCTGATTCAAGTATACAGTCATGACCAAGATTATTGGCTCCCCTCCATTTTTGTCAGAGAACGCACCATTTTGCCCAGAAAGTTTTTGCGATTACAAAAGGTTTTGGCATTCTCATGTTTATTTCTTTTGTTTGTATTGGAATGACAAAAAAGTGGAGTAACAAAAAAGCCAAATCTGACACATTCCACGCAAAAAACCCCAAAAATTGACTGGACAAAAATGATTGGCACCCTCAATTTAATATATGGTAGCACACCCCTTGGGGAAAAAAAAAAAAAAAATCACTGAAATCAATGGCTTCCTGTAACCCTCAAGGAGTTTCTTCCACTTCTCTACTGGAATTTGTGAGCGCTCTTCTTTCACCAACTTCTCCAGGTCTCTCAGATTAGAAGGGTTCCGTTCCCCAACTGCTATTTTGAGATTTCTCCACAAGCGCTCTATGGGATTGAGATCTAAACCCATTACTGGCCAATTCAGTCCTCTCCAGGCGTTTTGTTTGAAACCATTTCTGGGGGCTTTTTGACATGTTCTTTGGGTCATTGTCCTGCTGGAAGACCCATGTCCTCTGACACTGGAGACCCAACTTTCTGACACCGGGTCTTACATTGCACCCCAGAATTCTTTTGTAGTCTTCAGAATTCATAATGCCATGCACACGGTCAAGACATCCAGTGCCAGAAGCAGCAAGGCAACCCCAAGACATCAGTGACCCCCCCCCCCCACCATGTGTGATTGTATTCATTTCTTTGAAGGCCTCGTTGCTTTTTCTGAAAACAGTAGAATGATGGGCTTTACCAAAAAGCTGGAATTTTTCTCATCTGTCCACAGCACATTCTCCCAAAAGGATTTTTGCTTCCTCAGGTAAGTTTTGGCAAACTCCAATCTTGCTTTCTTAGGTTTCTGTGTCAGCAGTGGGGTCCTCCTGGATCTCCTCCCATATTTCTGTGTCGGCATTGGGGTCCTCCTGGGTCTCCTCCCATAGCATCCATTTTCCTTCAGATGGCGACATATAGTGCGAGCTGACACAGTTGTACCCGGTGCCTGAAGATTGAATTTGTCTGGAAGTTGATGGGAGGTTCTTTATCCACAATTCCAACAATCCTTCATTGTGATCTTTGATCAAATTTTCGCTTTTGTCCACGTTAGGGGGATTAGCTACAGTACCATGGGCTGTAAACCTCTTGACAATGTTGTGCACAGTGGACACAGGAACATTAAGATCTCTGGAGATGGACTTGTAACCTTGAGATTGTCCATGCTTTTCCACAATTTTTGTTCTCCAATCTTCAGACAATTCTTTGCTGCTCTCTCTCCTCCATCCATGTGGCACACAGAGACACACAACAGAAAGGTGGAGGCCATTTGTCACCATTTTCCCTGGTTGCCGGTGTGATTTCTAAATTGTCAGCTCCTGGTCATGGATACGGGGGAGCTTATTGACAAATTACAGGAGCATCACAGACTTGGAATTCAATTATTTCTTACAATACTGAGAAGTTGCCAATAAATTTTGTCCAGTCAAATTTTGGGGTTTTGGGTGGTGTCTGATTTGGCTTTTTGTTTCTCCACTTGTGTGTCATACCGATACAAAAGAAATAAACATGAGAATGCCGAAGCATTTGTCATCGCAACAATTTTCCTGGTGCAGTGGTTACATTATCTGACAAGAAATGCGAGGGAGACAATATTTTTGGCCCAGACATTGGCTGATAAACATCAATTTAATTATACAATATATAATGCGTACTATAAACTTTATATACCATATTTTTCATTTCATAAGACGCACTTTTCCCCCCCAAAAAAATATGGGGAAATGTCTGTGCGTCTTATGGAGTGAACATGGAGCGGCCCGGCCAGGCCAGTATTCCCCCCCCGTTGCCGCCATGTTAGAACACTGGGCTAGCCGCTCAGCTCTGTGCAGCAGAACCGGTTCCTCAGCCCAGTGGCGTCATCTTTAGTGTGGGCACCTGGCTGTGACAGCTTGCGGCTTCACAGCCGGGTCCCACTGCGCGAGAAGCTCTGCGCTTTGTGAATGGCCCTGTACTCTTCTGGGACCTGTCATGTGTCCCAGAAGACTACGGGGAGAGCGGCGATCGCAACGGAAGTGGGAGCAGGTGCCTCCCCCCCCACTTCCGCAGTCTCTGGTCCTCCCCTGCACCGCGTCCCCAGTCTCTGGTCCCCCCTGCACCGCGTCCCCAGTCTCTGGTCCTCCCCTGCACCGCGTCCCCAGTCTCTGGTCCTCCCCTGCACCCGTCCCCAGTCTCTGGTCCTCCCCTGCACCGCTTCCCCAGTCTCTGGTCCTGCCCTGCACCGCTTCCCCAGTCTCTGGTCCTGCCCTGCACCGCGTCCCCAGTCTCTGGTCCTGCCCTGCACCGCGTCCCAGTCTCTGGTCCTCCCCTGCACCGCGTCCCCAGTCTCTGGTCCTCCCCTGCACCGCGTCCCCAGTCTCTGGTCCTCCCCTGCACCGCGTCCCCAGTCTCTGGTCCTCCCCTGCACCGCGTCCCCAGTCTCTGGTCCTCCCCTGCACCGCGTCCCCAGTCTCTGGTCCTGCCCTGCACCGCTTCCCCAGTCTCTGGTCCTGCCCTGCACCGCTTCCCCAGTCTCTGGTCCTGCCCTGCACCGCTTCCCCAGTCTCTGGTCCTGCCCTGCACCGCTTCCCCAGTCTCTGGTCCTGCCCTGCACCGCTTCCCCAGTCTCTGGTCCTGCACCGCGTCCCCAGTCTCTGGTCCTCCCCTGCACCGCGTCCCAGTCTCTGGTCCTGCCCTGCACCGCGTCCCCAGTCTCTGGTCCTCCCCTGCACCGCGTCCCCAGTCTCTGGTCCTCTCCTGCACCGCGTCCCCAGTCTCTGGTCCTCCCCTGCACCGCGTCCCCAGTCTCTGGTCCTCTCCTGCACCGCGTCCCCAGTCTCTGGTCATCTCCTGTACCGCGTCAGCAGTCTCTGGTCATCTCCTGTACTATGTTTGCAGTCCATTGGTTCAGAATATTTTTTTCTTGTTTTCCTCCTCTAAAACCTAGGTGCGTCTTGTGGTCAGGTGTGTCTTATGGAGTGAAAAATACGGTATGTGCATAAACTTTGCTTTATTCTTCAGTTTAATTCATAGGCAAAGAACTCGGTTTAAAGTTCATCTATAGTGAAAATTTAAAAATCGAATAATTATTTCCTCATCGCGTTTCAATCATTTCTAGGCTACTCCTGTTAATCTGAACCGTATTCAGGTTTGTGCGTTTACTAGGTGAAAATCCCACACATTTGTTTCCTCGAATTCTGTGACCCATAGTCCC